TACTCTAATAATGTTATCTTAGAAGATTAATCGAAACCAAGTTTGTCTTCGTATCTATGGTGTACATTTTTATGTTTATCAGTGTAGCTTTTATATTTTCAATTACTGATTTTGTATAGATGGGTATACTCATATGGTATGCTTCTTTTCTAATAATTTAGCACTACATATTGTTTAAAGCTTCCTGATCTATATGGAATTCGTATTTTATTCGTCCGATCAAATATATACATATTATTATACACCTATGTCTTCTAATTTGCTTCAATATTCAATATTTTCATCATTAATTGTTTAATGAGAATATTTATTTTTGTGATAGTAAGATAAATTAAAATAATAAGAAGTCAAGATTATTCTATTTTACCTTACTTTAATCTCATATATTTCTTTTGTTTATAGTTATGACTTACAATTTATTTCTTGGACTTCTTAGTTTGGCTCCTTTTTTAGTCTATTTTGCGTACCCTTTTATTTCTCTTATCAATTGACCCGAGAACTAGGGCTCTTAAATATAAGCAATCTCTGAACGAAGATTTCTAATCGATATATTTGTATTGTAGCGATTTTCTGACATTGATTTAGTAGACAGTCCTTAATTTAGAGTAATTCTGAGTTCGTTTATGCGCTGGAATCTCACGTTTTAGTCAAGCTACAATCATGTGCTCTGATATCCTGAGTGGGCTCATGGTATCTTAAGTTTTTATTTAAATTATTGGCTCTTATTTTTTGCCTAAATTATTTATAGTAGAAATAAACGCTAGAACTAACACTAGCGACTTGTATTGCCTTATTTAAAGTCATTTTTACATAATTCTTAATTTCCACCTGTCATACTTTTGGCTTTTATTATTATTTTATTAGTTATAATTACTACCTAATTAGGGTAGATAGGTCTACTCTTGAACTCCAAGAATAGGACACTTAACTACCCATAGTACTAGTGGTGAGCAATTTCTATCACTTTTTTGTCCAGTAAATAAGTTATATAAGTTGCATCCACATTATTCCGTTTGAGGTTATATAGGATTAGTATTTGGATTTTTCCGCAATCACATGAGTAACACTGGCGTTTTCAATGAATTTCACAGCCCTGCTCTCCCAAAAGTTGTCCTCGTCGGGGATGGATTCCATTTATCTTCGTATTTCTCAACCTTTCGGGCTCAACAGAATCTATCCTTATTTTTTAGCACTCATCAACCCCAACCTTTATAATCAAACAAGGTGTCAGAATTTAGAGCTGTGATTGACCTTCCTGTTAGCCTCCACTTGGTGCCCCTAAAGGGGAAAGTGTCAAACCGAAAACCACCCGAATTTTAATAGGAAACGTTGCAATACACTGTTATTGGATTGCGCAAGCTCCTTGTTCATAACTCGTGAAAATACTATAATTATTGTCCCAAAATATTAATTTTATCACCCAGTCCTTCTCGGGTCCTTTGCTTTTTTATTTGCTGCCAAGAATAGGTATAAATGATTCGACCTTGCCCTACATTTTCGTATCCCATCACCCATTTGTTTTGCTCCTCCACTGGTTGGTTGGTAACGTGTTTTGGTTTTCCTGCGTTTGATACGACAGGTCGAGAACCATCCCCTTGGTCAAAGCCTTGTTTTCCAGAGTGGCTGTTCTCCAAGTTAGATGGCCTTGACTAGTACATTTGAAACACCGTGATCTCGAAAATTCATTCTATAAATTTAAGCCTTCATTTTCTGTTCAATATCTGAATTCATTTTCTCTAGTTTACTTTGATTTTATTGGATTGACTTATTATAATTTAGTGCCTGATGTCAAAGGAAGGAATAGTCTTATTCTCTGCTTCCGATACTCCCTTAGTCACCTAAAACACGTTGTTTTTCTAAACACTAAATTGCTCATTATCTGCGTCAAGACTTAATTAATCGGCATATTAAACCCTCCCTTTGTCACAGTTTTTCAGCAATTCTCTCAAATGAAGGATCCCCTAAAACCGATCTAATTTATTAGTGAGCCTGTGCACTAATGAGATAAGATTATCTGACTCGCTTATCGTCCTGTTCAAATTTTAATTTTTTTGAGATACGACGGATTCATATAGCACATCTGGAAGCCCTGTGAGTCTAGGCTTGGGCCTGGATACTACTTAAGCATTCTGTTGGAGATGAATGGTTCTTCACCTAAACAAAACAATATAGTTGAGACTCAAAGTGTGGCTATAATTAAGGTTGTGATGTTACTGTGAACTAAAGATATTTGAGAGACATGCGAGAAAAGCGTGAGATAATGGATGGTCCACAATTCGGCTGTCCTTGGCATCCAGTGCGGAGCCGTAATTCGCCTCGGACGCACGCGGTAGCAGAAAGAGGCCAGGCTACACTTACATGTACTTCATCTTGGGGTTATTTAAAGACGGCTACTGCCACCTACGTTGGTGGATAATTTACTTTATTTGAGCTTGTTGAAAATGCTCTGATGCTTCAGGTGCAGACAAATTTGGAGAAATTGAATAATTCGTATGGTTATTCCACTGGATGGAACGGCAGTATAAATCTTACTGTATTATGAGTAGTCAAAGGGTTAATTTTATTAATCACATGCCTCGTAAAAGCTGAAATCGCAAGTGCGAAAGACTGGGCTTCCTCTGCCACATTATATCCCTCCTCTTTTGCCCCATAGTACCCCTCATAAATGGGATTAGCATAAAAATAATGTGCTACAAGCGGTTTAGCTCAGCTTTCGACCTTAATCTACCACACTACGGCTATAGTCCTTGATCTAAATTAACTTCTGGTATGTAGACCTTGCAAATGTAATGAGTCATTTCGTACAGCGTACCATCCCATTTTGTTGCTCAGTTTAATACATTAAAAACATCTTTATAAGTGAGAACAGTAAAAGCGATAAGCGGCATTTATTTTACTACATTCTTTTGACCCATTGTCCTCCCGCATATCCTCTGGCAGCATTTTGAATGCGAGAAAGGAATCACTACCGAATGACACTCGTCTTCTTTCCTGGCATAGTCTTCTCCCCACTTTTGCGAGCTTTACACATTTGAGCTTGTGCTGGACTCCCTGATTCCATCTGCGATTGCTGCTAACGCATATAGTTTACCTTCTCAGGCGCCTCGATTATGAAGCTTAAGGGGGAGGGAAATGTTCGTTATTTCATCTTTATGACAAAAATTGTAATTTAAATTATTTCGATTATGCTTCGGTATTGTCGCATAAGATAGAATATAAATACGATACACATTAGGTCGTTTAGATTATGCCAAGCACTGGTATTACTATAAGGCTTGACAATTTCAGTACATTCCACTTTTTATCACCTTCCAAAATGCTTTTTCATCAGAGCTGGACCTGAGCTCCAGCCTTGTCTGGGTCTCATCCACAAAGTCAAAGGACTTTAAAAACGGTCATCGTTATCACTTGATGCATACCTCCATGTTGGGTATTGCTCTGAGGGTACTGATGAGGCCAAGACAAGTTTATACCTGAAGTCCAGTCAGGATAAAAATATCTTTTGGGCAGTCTGAATAAGTTAACTTCAATGATATTGTGATGTATTTTGACTTATTTCATTAGGGGGACTTAAACCATCGCTATTGTGACTCAATAAAAAGGTAATATCAAGAAGAGTGTCTACAGCGCTATTCGTTCTAAGAGATAGCTGCTTGATTCTTAAGGAAACTATATCAGAAGCCTGATGCATGATAATTCGCCTCTTTTTCGTTCTGTTCATTCAATTGTTTTTTCAAAAATTGTTGTAAGTCCCTAATATCCCCCAACGGGATGCCATTATCCACGGTAAAAAAGCATACTTCGGCCTTCATAACTGCTTTGTTATTAGGCTATTACTTGATCGAAAAAGAAGTAGGCTTGCTTGATTACGGGTTTCTTTGCGCGTAAATTGGGCAAGAAATGTTAACAAGTTAATTCAGATCTCAAACTGACTCGGGCTCTTCATACCCAAAACGTTGGTCATTTATATTAACTGGCTTGAGGCTGAAAATACAAGTTATGTAGACTAAATGGCATATTTTGATGACATAGATGGAGACAGATACTCTGTTGATAGTCTGAACCTGAGTAATGCAGGCAGATAAATATCAGAGAAAATTACCAAATTCACCCCCTGCTTACCTGCTGAACTCTTGTTCTTGCTCATCCTCCTGCTCAGCCTTCAGAATGTCGGAGATCCGGTTCTCTCGAATCCTGTCCCTCAGAGTCAACAGCTCCGTTATCAGCGGCATAAGAAGAGCCACCGTCAGAGCGACGAACAATAAGATCTCTATCACGCTGATCTAAAATACCAAGTGATTTAGAACACAATTCTGCTTATTTTTACTATGTCTATAAAGCCATGAATACTATCTGTCTTCACCATATTTTGTTTAAGATGACCATCTTAAATAAAATAAGATGAACACAGTTCTTATTTAAGATCAACAGGTAGTCTTGGAGGCTAGGAAAAAAAAATTAAGTAGTTACAGTACCCACTGTTCCCCTCCATCTATCTTTGATATCGCTACTGAAAGATTTCTTAGAATATTTTGTTTGTAGCTAAATGGATTTACATTTCGATGGGCCACTTGAACTAGTTGCTTGCATTGCAAAATACAGACAAACATATTATTCCACACGTGATGATGTTTCTTCTTCTGCTGCCATATTAGAGGCCCGAATGGAACAACAAGTTGTACAACGTAGTAGCTCTGTCAAGTACCATAGATTTGGTCGGCGCAAGATTACTAACTTGCTGATTTTGGCAATGATGTGGGTACTTCTCTCCGGCGTTGAAGGGTCAACTTAAACCATACGCCATTCTGACAAATATCTCCTTCGAACTGCGTCTTGAGCCAAAATATGGGCATCTGGGATTATTTAGGCCTTACTTAGACAGATGACCCCAGTCCTGACAGCCGCAAGGGACTAGCAGATCATCTAAAAACCCCTCATTAACCATAAAGCTCCTGTGCCTCTGAAAGCAGTAGAGTTGAGCTCGTTTAGCACCATTCAGCAGGTGCGCTATGCTTTCATTTCAGTTTCCATTCTTAACTCCTTTAGCTAAAAGTGCGGGTTAGACCTTGTTTTCGCAATTTGGTCGGGGCGTCAAGACGACTTTGTGGAACTTAAATATTTCCGTGTCCTTTGCCAGAGTATTCGTGATTTCCAGCATTAGACCATAGGCTGGGTACATTGACATGAGTACTTCGCAATATGGTTGTATGGAAGAGAAATATTAGACGATTTTCTGATCTTCATAAGCGAAATGGATGAAAAAGTCAAATTCATCATGAATGTGGAGGAGAACAGACATTTACCGGTCTTGGATGTAAATGTCATTGGCTCTGAGAAAACTCTCGAGAAAAAACTTTTCCGAAAGAAATCGCGTGCTAGAATTACGCTTAACTCCCAGTCGAGCCACACTTATGGGATGAAGATGGGAATACTGCAGAGTAGAGCATCAGAAGCTCACGACTAAGTGATTCTGTGTTCTGGGAAGGGGAGCTGGAAAAACTAACTCACATGTCTCTTGGAAACGGATATCGAGAAGAAGCAATACAATGCAACAGACGGATGGTGATGAGCAGAGGTAAGCATGGAGAATATGAAAGGAAAGCAAGAAGAGGAGAGGAAAAATAGTGGCTTTGTCAACCCTCCTGCGACCTGGCTCGGAAGCTACAGTTAATACTTGGGAAATGGAACATTCGAACAATCCTGAAGGAAAGCATGCCCACGCAACATGAAGAGTCAAAAAAGTGGAGTACTCTCGAGTTTCCAGCATAATCTGCAGGGACTGAGAATAAAATAACATCGGAGAGACGGGAACGGCAATGAGCACAAGGATCAAGGAACACCAGCGACTATACGGAGAAATTGATAGGGAAAGATGGGAGAAAGCTGAACACATCGCCATTACCGGTCACACAATTGACTGGAATGCAATGGAAGCACTGACGTCATATGAAGAAGACACCAGGAAAAGGAAGATCGGGGAAGCTGTGGACATCCTCTTTCAAAGAAACCTGATGAACAGGAGATTGGAAAAGGAAGAGTCAACGATAATTTTGCGTACTGCCTGAGCAGACTTTGAGATTCAACGAGTACATCAAAAAGAAGACGCTTGGACCCAGGACAACATCTTCAAAGGGAACTCAAAAAAAGACGACTGCAGTGAGGGGAGTCAAACGTGGTATTTGCCAAAAATATTCACCCATGGAGATCCACCTTGTGGAGAGAGGATATTAAATTAAAAGTTGAAGTTATAGTTGGGTAAGATATAGGTCACCAGTGCTTGTGCTTAGGCGTTTGTGTGTATTTTTCGAATCTGTACCTGAAGGGGAGGTGACTGGTGACAGGATTAATAATCTGGGATATAACCAACACACACACACGCACACACACACAGGAACATAATCCAAGTATCCTAGGCTTAGATGAGAATGTCAACTTGAGAGACGAGAGGAGTGTGTTTTTCGCGAATCACAGGAAAACAGGGAAGCGGTGCATTCTCACACTTAAGCCGGACACAGGTCGCGAAAGAATGAGACAAAATGTGGGCAGGAATGAGGCAGAGGATAATCGAGTCGTGGGTTTGGAGCCTATGGGAGGGAAATGTGGATGGGGATGGACATGTTCATCATCGAGGACGGGAATGGAAGGTTCTTGGGCAGACAGCCAAGCAGTGATTTCGATGTTGAGCAGCGACCCAGTGACGAGTGGGGTATGAGAAAAGAGGGAGCTGAATGAGGGCAGATGACAATTGGTACCGGAGGCGGAGATGATTTCGCTTCACTAAACCCACTCATAGCGACACACTCTTGGGCGAAATTGGAGGAAGCAGGAGCACAGAAATGTGTGAATAAGTGGATGGGCCACGCAGAGTGTGGTTGAGAGAAGGTATGGGAGAAAAGTTGAACGGACAATGGGTCAAGGGGATTGTCTTCATTTGGCACTCGGACAAGTTACGTTGCCGGCGAGACGTTTGGGAATGTGCCCAGCCAATGGTGCAATGCTGGGAATCACGAATACTCCGGCAGAGGACACGTGACTGGGTATGTTTCACGAGGTTGCGAAAACAAGGTCGAACCAAAATCATTATAAAGTTTTATAAAATTGGGTTGACCTCGTTTTCGCAACTTGGTCTTGTTGTCAGGGCGACTTAGTAGAAGGAATCGAGTTCGAAGTCTTCTGCCAAAAGTGTTTGTCATGATTCCCAGCATCAGACAGTGGATTTGGTACATTCTCGAACGATTCGCCAGCATCCTCAGTCGTTTCTGCCATTCTCTGCACCAAGCTTCGAAATCGCCAAAGAGACAAGTGAAGTGACTTTTCGACCAAGTTGCGAAAACGCGGACAAACGTGGACTCCATAAAGC